GGAAGAGGGATCAGAGGGGCTTTTGGTACCCCTTTTGGCCCTGCCCGCTGGCACTTGGGGCACGAGCCACAAAAGTCCTTCACCTCCCTATATATTCCTGGCCAGTAGAACCTCTGCAACACTCGCTGCAGGGTCTTCTCGTATCCCAAGTGTCCCGCCAACGGGTTGTCATGTGCCAGCTCTAAGAGCTGAGGGCGATATCTCCGGGGAACCAATAGGTGACGCACCAAGCCACCCTCTTCCTCCCCCTCTGCACCAAGCCACCCTCTTCCTTCCCCTCTGCGACCCGGTACAGGCAGTCTTGGCATACCTCGAAGCGGGGGCCCTTGTGCTTTCCCTTCTCCTCGGTAACCGGATCGTCCGCATCCCTGGCGTCAGCCCAGGCGCGCTGAAGTGCCAAGTCCTCTCATTGTTCTCGTAGGAAGTCCCCTTTCCATATGCCGAGGGGGGAATAGATGTCCTGGTCTTCACCCTCCCCGTGTGGAGGGTTGGCTCCCAGGTCTCCATCCATATTCATAGGGCCGCCGTCTGGCTGCTCAGTCTGCTGGCCCGGTCCCCCAAGCAACCCTTCCCGGGTCAGAAGGGTACCCTGGCGTTGCCATTCGCCCATGGCCCTTCGAAAGCCACTCCAATCTCGCCCCAGTAGAACGGGGTATACCAATTTCGGGGCTACCACCACATAACACCAACTTACTTGGTCGTCGTCCGCTATTCGGACCCAGGTAGTGGGGTATTGGTGCATGTCCCCGTGTACGCACTGCACGCACACGGGCGGCCCCCTCGGGCCTCCCTCCTCGACTAGCTCCGCCCTTACTATAGTTTGGCTACAGCCGGAGTCTACAAGGGCTAGGACCCGGTGGTCCCCAATCTGGACCTGTCTCAGGATTCGACCTCCCCTCCCATTGTTGAGGACCCTCTCTCCCGTCAGGGCCTGTGCATAGGTGCAGTCCATGTACGGGCAGCGCTTTTGAAAATGGCTTTCCAGCCCGCCCCTGTCGCAGGCCCCCTTAGGCGGTCCCAGTTTACTTGGAGCCTTTCCGCCTTCACCCAGGGTGGGCTGCTTTTCTTGAGGAGCACCCTTCAATGGCGTTGTCCATGCTGGAGCCAGCCTCCTTCCCGCCCCCTGACCTCCTTCTTGGCTTCGGTCCCTCTCAGGGCTCCCCTTTGGTCGCCATGGCCAGGGGAGTTCGGTCCTAGGGGGAGGGCCGGTCCTACCTGGGCTGCTTGTTCCTTCCGCTGTTTCTACAGCCTTATAGTCGTTCCTCAGGTCGACCGCCTCATCTACGGTTGACGGGGGGGGCGCCGTCACACCCCACGTGGCCCTCCACTGGGGAGGATACTTAGAAACTGTGAGTGCACCCACTGTTTCTGCCTGCTCTGGAACTGCTCTGATAGCTCCCTCACCAGTTGCCTCTGCTGCTCCTGGTGCCGCGCTGAGAGCTGTTGTATCAAGAACGTTTGTTGCTGCAGGTTCTGTCGCTGGACCTGGGTTAGCCTCTCCAGCACCCGGGCCAGTTCCATCCTGCTGGTGCCTGCAATGTCTGCCTTCCCCCCCCCACAGGGGGGGGGCGGGGGGGTCCGCCTCCTGTAAATGTGTCTAAGCAAACAATAAGTTAGGCTCCCCCACCAATCTTAAACCAAAAACTCTCTAGCAATCTCCTCTGATACTGTCCCCTTTTACTCCAGGGGAGGAGGTCGGTTAGATTCCCACATTCTCCACCATCTTGTAGGGTTTCCGTCTGCCCCCACAGCGTTGCCCATCATCAACTGCAGGGAATTGGCTCTGCTGACGGCGATACTACCCAATTCAGGCCACTGTCCTCCGACAGTGCCCACACAATCTGGGCTAGGGAGGATTCGTTCCTTCTCAGTTATGCCACGGAGGCCAGGGGAGGGGGTGCCGGGTAGGGGGGAGAGAGGGAGGCCCGGGCCCACCCTCACTCCCGGGCCCCAGCCCAGGGCCCCAAAGGACACGGACCAGCTCCGGTCCGGGGCTAGTATGGCAGGGGCGTCCTCCTGAAACCTGTCCATATGAGGGGGCTCCGGTAGAGCCCTCCCCTCCTGGGCTACTTCCTCTCCGTTCTGCCTCCCCCCTTTTACTGCTGCTGGCCTGCTCGTCCCTCCGTGGGTCAGCTGCTCGTCTCTCCGGACGATCTTCCGGACCCCGTTGCTCCACGGCGGTCCACAAAGTCCTGCTTTCCGCAGCCAAGAGTGGGGGGTTTGCCCTCACCCCGCCCCCTTCCCTCACGCCTGAGGAGGCATTTAAACTTCCCGTCGTGCCTGGCGCCGGAGGGTGACGTGCTCCTGACGTCACCAGCTGACTCCACCCCTCCCGCTGTGTTTGCGTCGCCACCACCGCCGAGGCGGTCAGCTGGTCCGCAACGCGGGTGCAGCCGGCACAATGCCGGTGCGCACGCCCCTGCCACCCAAGAAGGGCTTTTGCCGCGGGGGTTTTAGTGCGGGGTTGCGGGACCCCATCACATGGGGCTAAGGCAGGCTCACCCCTGTCTTGGCCCTTCACCATTCTCAAAAGCAGCCAGCAAACTTCCTCTATCCCAAGCCCTATTATGCCCCCCGCTTCCATTCTGTGGAGATAGACTACAGGATTTTTCCTGGTGGTTTGGTGGGGGTTTTTTTGCGGAGTGGGGGAGGGGGTTCCGGTATTTTTGTTTCAACCATCTGGCAACCCTATCTACTGGTTTGTGACCACTGCTATAGGCCTACTCTTTTTTTTTTCTAATTTACAGACTAATACGGCTACCCCGAGACCTATAATAGTTTACATTTAGTTTATAAAGGTTTATATGCAATAACTATAAGGGTTAGAAACGTTTGTGTTTTATGCAAGTACATGTTTAATTTTTTTTTTTTGCCAGAATGAAGATCAAAGTAAGAAAATAAGTAAGGTTTTTAATTTCCTTTAAAGAAACTTGTGTACTATCACTTACTCTGTCAGAAATTGACATTCCCCAAACCATTGTTGCTTGATAGCTATCTTCTTCATTAACACTGGCAAGGAAGGTCATTATACCACAACCAGTACAATCTTTGACCCTTTAAACCTTTTTCAAGATATTCTACTTTTTCTAACAAGGTATAATATCCTTATAGGAATGGTATACTGTATTTGACCACTATCGGCGTACCAACTGTGTAGTGTCAGACCTGATTATGGGGAATGAATACTATTTCCGAGTCTTCAGTGAAAATTTGTGTGGACTGAGTGAAACTGCTGCTACAACTAAAACTCCTGCCTACATACAAAAGACAGGTAACTCACATTCTTCAAAACAAAGGTTACAAAAGACTGACTCACAGATAAGCCACATTTAGCTAGTTGAGTGATGCATTATAGACATAAGAGAGTACAGAATTACTGGGCATAGGAGCAAAAACTTTTCCCATTACTTAATAGTGGGCAGTTTCTAATCTTTTAGATCCCTTATACAACCACACTGACATATTTATGTCAGTTTAATAAAGACAATAGCAAAGTTTAATAAAGATAAATGCAAAGTGCTCCACTTAGGAAGGAACAATCAGTTTCACACATACAGAATGGGAAGCAACTGTCTAGGAAGGAGTATGGCAGAAAGGGATCTAAGGGGTTATAGTGGTCCACAAGCTGAATATGAGTCAGCAGTGTGATGCAGTTGCAAAAAAAGCAAACACGATTCTGGGATGAATTAACAGGTGTGTTGTGAGCAAGACATGAGAAGTCATACTTCCGCTCTACTCTGCGCTAGTTAGGCCTCAGCTGGAGTATTGGGTCCAATTCTGAGCACCGCATTTCAGGAAGGATGTGGATAAATTGGAGAGGGTCCAGAGAAGAGCAACAAGAATGATTAAAGGTCTAGAGAACATGACCTATGAAGGAAGGCTGAAAGAATTGGGTTTGTTTAGTTTAGAAAAGAGAAGACTGAGGGGGGACATGATAGGGGTGTCACAAAGAGGAGGGAGAAAAATTGTTCTACTTGGCCCCTGAGGCTAGGACAAGAAACAATGGGCTTAAACTTCAACAAGGGAGGTTTAGATTGGACATTAGGAAAAACTTCCTAACTGTCAGCGTCGTTAAACACTGGAATAAGTTGCCTGGGGAGGTTGTGGAATCAACATCTCTGGAGACATTTAAGAGCAGGTTAGATAAATGTCTGGCAGGGATGATCTATACAGTATTTGGTCCTGCCATGAGGGCAGGGGACTGGACTCGATGACCTCTTGAGGTCCCTTCCAGTCCTAGTATTCTATGATTCTATGATTTATGTACACTCAGCCACTGATGTTGAAGAATCATGAGTTAGGAATCTAGAACTCATGAAATTAAAAACAGATTTGGGGGATTATCTTCTGGGTTTTAAGCTGTTAGAGTTCATGCTTTCAGGCTTTTCCATGCGACCATAAGGGCTAGAAATTTATTTTGTAAATAAAAACAGATTCTCACGTAATCCCAGGACTCCCGGAGCTGGGGATTTTAAGAAAAAATATCTCATTACATCACAAAAGTTGGCAATTCTGATGTTTTAACACTATTGCTTTTCTAAAACAGCATAGATAAAAATAAAATTTCAGGTAGACTGTATTCACTATGCAGGTTTTAAGAAAGAATTCTTACTAGATTACTCTGTTTGAATTGCAGGCACCATTTATAAACCACCCAGTTACAAAGAGCACAACTTCTCTGAAGCCCCCAAATTCACTCATCCCCTGGTAGACCGTTCCGTGATCTCTGGATACAATGCTACGCTCAGTTGTGCTGTAAGAGGAATCCCTAAGGTACAAATTACACTAGTTATCATCTATATAATTGTGACAAGTCAAAAGCCTACTGTAACTACCCTAAAATCCATGCCAGCTTCATGAAATTACACTGTTCTAATTATTGAGCTACATTATAGGAATCAAGTCCATACTATCCCTCCACATCCTAGAAGTTAAATAATGTTCCAATGAAAAACCTAAACATCAACAAAAGCAATAAAGTGATACAGCATGAAACATAAGGTTTTAAATACCCAGGTCAGGAAGTTGAAAATTACTCTTGGTATAAGCAATGTGAACTCTGACCCCTTCCAAGTCTATATTATAATTGGGCCTTCCATTACATTAGAGGACAATGCAACCAACCTACTATTCACTTAACAGAATTCAAAGGAGATACTTCTTTTCCATTACTTTTAGTGCACCTGTGTAACTTGTGTTTCTGAATGCATATTGTATAATCAAGTAGTAAAATACACTGCTATAATTTGTATGCACAAGGAGACAGCATTAAAAAAAATCTCAGGCTGATTTTAACACTTTCTTCGCTCTCAATTATTTGCTGAGCTCTATTCAGGGTGAACTGTACTTGGTACCTTTTTCACTGAGTATTAAGAAAAAGCAGCAGAAAGAATATCAACCACAGGCTACGATTATATTCAGCCTCTGAAGGCAGACTGAACAGGGTGAAAAGGGCCATATATGCACTTAAGAAATGTACCATGCTAAGTAATGATTGATTCTCCTCAATCAACTGAAACTTGTATCCAACACACAGCTGTTTCAGTTATCACTGATTTTCTCTAACACACTAGATTATGTTTTTTGTAATTGTCAAATGAGTCAGTAATTTGAATCCCAGTTTGGATGATTCTCCAAATTGAAGCAAACCCTGCTCGTCTTGCCATCCCACAGTGTGGCCTCTCTATCTCTAAGACACTTTTCTGTACCTACAGTGCCAATTGTACGCTTGTCAGAAGACACATGCAAATGTCTCTGTACCGGCTGTACAGATGTTGTGGATCTTTCACAGACAGCACTTCCTTGTGATAAAGCTTTTACATTTTTAATAACTCTATTCTATCAAGGATGTCTCAGGTATAAAGTGCATTCCATGAACATGCTGCCACGAAACAGTAGCCAGTATTCATTGCCAAACAGCACTGACACACAAGGTGAAAATCTAGAACAAGAAAGAGGGCTATTGACAAAAATTCAAGAGTGGACAAAGTTGTTGAAGAACAGGTATCATCAAAGCTGTCTCATCCATAGGACAGCTCAGGGCAGCTGCCCCAGGCCCTGTGCTTTTGGGTGGGTCTGTGGTGGCTACTTCAATTGTCCTATGGATGGGGTGGTCTGATCTCAATGTTGATTTTAGTCACAGGACCCACTGTGGACTGGGACCCCTTTCACATTCACCTGTTGCAGGAGCTGCTGGAAGTGGAGTGATCAAGCAGCCTTCCCCCCTCTATACCCCTGAACCCTGTATCACTCAGGGGAGTCAAGCAGGCTTCCTGCTCCCAGAGTGACTTGCTCCCAGAGTGACCTGGTCCACTCCACTTCCTGCTCCCAGAGTGACCTGGCTGGGAGATGGTGGTGGAGCTGAGCAAGCTTCTGGGTCGCTCCACTTTCTGCAGCTTCTGGCACCTAGGTGAGTATAGGGAACCTGAGCCCTGCTGCCGCTCCACACCAGGCTCCCTGGTAATTCCTTGGATCATATCGCTCAGGAAAGGGAACTTCGGGGAAAGGATGCAATAGGGTGGGAGGGGGTGGAAAAGGGGCAGGGAAAGATGAGATGTGGCAGAGCTTGTGGGAAGGGATTGTCCCAGGCCTCCTAGGAACAGCCCTGGATATCATTAATATGATTCAGTATAGATGCACAAGACTTGTCAAGCAAGAGAGACAACGACAAAATAGAAAAAGCGATACCTTTACATCAGTGGATCCAAAAGCATGTTATAAAGAAGATCAGTATCATTATTCCAATTTTACAGATGAGGACACTGAGGCATAAGGCTGCTAATTCTAAAAATAAAACAGATGCCACAAAGACTTAGTTGTTACTGTTTAAATCCTATTGCTACATTAAAGATTCCACTAGGTTTAAGAGATGAAGGATAAACCTGGGCAAAAGTGCAAGGCACATATTTTAATTTAAATTTTTATTTCACCTTCTTAGTTGCAAAATTAGAAGACTTTATTTAGTCCCACACTGCCATCAGAAGGAAAAAATGCATGAAATACAAAAAATACTTGACCACCTGCATGTATGCAGGTTTTCAACACTGTGCAGTACAACAGAGTAGGGAGACTTTCCCTCTTGTACTTTATATGCCTCCTCCTGGCACCCAGGCAGCATGAAAAATAAGAAGGAAACAGATGGGGTGATAAACAGGGTAGGAGGAGGAGGAACAAGCTGGAGGACAGGAGCAGAAGTGGCCAGGGACAGACTTGAGGGAATTGAGCAGAAAGAAATAGAATCAGGGGAAATAGAGGGGGACACAAGTAGAAGGAAACAGAGACCAAGAATCTGTAAAAGCTATAAGCACACTTCCTTGAAGAACCTAAAACTAAATTCAGGACTCCCAAATCCCAACATTCCTCTGTTATCAGCAAACAGCTTGGAAATTCACTGATAAAATTGGTCTCTCATCCCCTTCTACTAACTAGCTCATAGTGTACTGTTACTAGGAATTCAATTTTAAAATTGTAATCCTAGGGGTAAACCACATATGGATTAATATGGCTCCACCACATAAAGCTTGTTTTCTTTTTCCAATTGCTTTTTTAGAAATCTAGGAAATTACATACAAGATAAACTATGCTTAAAGATTGTTACAGTTGCCAAGTTAAACACCCAAAATCCAAGAAACGCCAGAACTGAGACTGACCTTGCAACCTTAATTCAGCCCTCTGATGTGTATACATTTTTATAGTCTTCAATTACATGATTACATACTTTTTTCCTATGAGACCTCTGGCTCATACAGTGCACAAGATGGACAGTGCTCAGGGTTCTATAGTAAACAAGTCTGTATTTTTCAGGATCCCTGCCTCAGCTGAGGAAATAGGAAAGTGTACATTGAATGAGGCAGCAACTGTAGGAAGAGGGATGGTCTTGTATTTAAGACACTTGAAAATCATGCTGGAGAACTGAATGTTACCATTTCATCTGCCATAGTTATCTACTAGTTTCATTGTTGGACACTGATTGCATGTTTCTTCTTTTCTGGATGCCCAACTTGAGATGCTAGGGACCTGACTTGCACAAGTGCTGATCACTTTTTACAATTGAAGTCAAATGGAGCTGTGATTTGAACATGAAATGAAGTGCTAATTACTCTGAAAAAGATAAGGCATTTGATATCCCATTAGGAAAAACTAGACCAATTTTGGTCTAAAATATCTTTGTGCCTCAGCTCCCCCTCTATAAATGGAATTAATACAATCTCGCAGGCATGTTGTGAAGATAAATCCATTCAGTTTGCACTCAGATGTTATGGTGATGAGCACCAAAAAAAAGTAAATTAATAATTCTGTAGTCAGGGCAAGGTTTGGATAATGTGTAGTAAACAAGACACAGAGTCACATGCTGAATGAAGATAAAAATAAATATTGAATACCTAAGTTATCTATTTTCTGAGCATTCTCCATCATATGTAATGAATGAGTTAGGGTAGCATGAAAACAGTAGTATGAAATCATGTAATTAAAAACTGTATCATAATGCACGCAAGGGGGATGTATTAAGATTGCATGGGCAGCCATAAAACTACATCTTCCTAACTTTTGTTTTTATGTTCTTCAGCCAAAGATATTCTGGTACAAGAACAAAGTCGATCTCTCTGGAGAGGCCAAGTATCGTATGTTCAGTGAGCAAGGGATACTGACCCTGGAGATCCGAAAGCCCAGTCCCTTTGATGGAGGCTTTTACACCTGTAAAGCAGTGAATGAATGTGGGGAAGCTGAAATAGAGTGCAGATTGGATGTTAGAGGTAACCAGATTTCTGTTGACCAGTAGTTCTCAAACTGTGGGTCAGGACCCCAAAGTGTTTTGCAACCCCTTTTGCCAGGACTGGTGTTATTCCAAGGGCTCAAGCCCAAGACCCACTGCTGAGGACTCAGGCTTCGGCTTCAGCCCTTGATGGCAGGGCTCAGGCTACAATCCCCCTCTCTGGAGCTTAAGCCCTTGGACTTTGACTTTGGTCCCCATGCCTAGGGCAGCGAGGCTCACATTTGGGCCTCTTCCGGCCAAGCTGGTGGGGGCCAGGGTTTGGCCCTCCCAACTGGGGTGGCACGATGAGGGTGGACTCAGGCTTTGTCCTCTCCTCCTGTGATCATATCTTGTTTTCAGAAGGCAGTGATGTTTGAGAAACCCTGCTGTAGACAATATTCTCATTCAAATGAATGGATAATTTCCCTAAAAATCATAACTTCCCTTTAAGCAAAAATTGTTGATATATGGGGGGCAGAAGCGAATGTTCATTGAATTAGTGAATGTCTCAATAGAAACAGGTGAGAAAATATGGTAGAATTTTGTTATTTGTTAGATACTCTAGGACAGTAAGACAAGGAATTATTAAGCTCCCATTATTGTCCATATTCCAGACGAAAGCATGAGACATTAGAATTCAAGTCACAAGCTGAATTAATAAACAGTGTGCCATGGACAACAGTGCTGTGCTATAGACAATACTCTGCATTTCAAAATTGAAATTCCTGAGATATTAAAAAATGATGAGCTACAATAGCTGTCAAAATAATGCTTCAACAATAAGTAAATAATTCCTGTTATACAAGCAATTATAAAAGGAGATATTGATCCCTTATTTTCACTACTAGCTAAAGTCAGACAAAGGCTTGTACTATAAAAGGGAACATATTTGGCTATATATTGGTAGAAAAATCCTAAGAGTCATAAGGTACTGTGAGCATGCATGGTGCTTTGCATGCAAGTAAATTTCAGAAACAGAACTGCTAATAAGGATGAGTGTGGAATAGCTAATGATGGAGATGTGCCTTCTACATAGGGAGAATTACTTCTTTCAATCCAAATACAGTAAAACTCCAATTGTTCGGCATCCAGTGGTCTGCCACTCCAGATAGTCCAGCACCAACTGGAACTCGGAAGTGCTCCGGCCAGCCGGACAATTGAAGCTGCTCCACACCGCTTCCCCAAGTCCGCTGCTGCCGCTGCCGAAACTGCCAGTGGGGGACTTGGGGAAGAGGCGTAGAGCAAAGCAGCTGGGTGCTGCCTGGTTGGTCCCGCAGCACCATCCCTCACACTCCTGCTCAGCTCCCAGCAGCAACCCAGCTGCTCTGCTCTGCGCTGCTACCGCTGCTGAAACTTTGGGAAGTCGTGGGGCAGAGCAGCTGGGGTGCTGCCATGTTGGTCTGGCAGCGCCACCCCTCGCCTGAGCAGTGCTGCAGGACCAACCCAGCAGCACCCCAGCTGCTCCGCCCCACGCAAAATGGCGGAGGGTTCACCCCACGCCGCGCCGTTCCCCGTTGACCCCCCCCCCCCCAGACCCGTCACAGCCCCCCTGCTGGAGTACCTCCTGATACTCTGGCATATGCAATAATCCGGCACCGCCTGGGTCCCAAAGGTGCTGGATTATCAGAAGTCTACTGTAGTATTACATTATTCAAAATTATTACTTGTACAAACAAAAATGCTAGAAAAAAATATAGTGCAACTATGTGCCAGTATAACCCCCCCCCCCCCAGACCCGTCACAGCCCCCCTGCTGGAGTACCTCCTGATACTCTGGCATATGCAATAATCCGGCACCGCCTGGGTCCCAAAGGTGCTGGATTATCAGAAGTCTACTGTAGTATTACATTATTCAAAATTATTACTTGTACAAACAAAAATGCTAGAAAAAAATATAGTGCAACTATGTGCCAGTATAAGGACAAAAAACTTGGTAATCTGGATACAAAAGCAACAAGAGTACAGCTGGTTCCCAAGTTGCGAACGGTCGACTTATGACCGTTCACATTTACGACCAAAGCTCCCATGGAGCGGTCGTAAAGGCAGTCCTCAAGTTATGAATGTAACCCGCGCTTACGAACAGAGTAGTCGCTATGTAACTCAATGGGGTCCGAGTTACAAACAGATCAAGTTACAGCCAAGTGTTTGGTCCGTAACTCGTTCATAACTCGGGGAGAGGCTGTAATTATAAGAACTTAAAAAACAACGAATGGTCCCGCAGCACTTTAGAGACTAACAAAAAATGTAGATGATATCATGAGATTTCATGGGCACAACTCACTTCTTCAGATGAATGGAGCAAGGGGTCCAGAGGTACAATAAAAATGAGTAACTCTGAGAGTATCTGTAGTTCATCTCAATGGAGAAAATAAGTACAGTGTTGTTTTTAAAAAATAATACCTCCCCCCCCGCCCCCCAAGAAAATGTGGTATATGACTACTATAGAGAAGGTCATTCTCTTCATTGGTAGTTGTAGTAGAAAGCATTTTAGCAATTAACATTTGAAAGTGAATGCACATGACCGAGTTCTCAAGTAAAATGCTTGGAGACATATAAGAGGAGTACTCCCTGTTAAATATGGACAAATATTGAAAATGTAGTAATTGAAAGTTCAAGTCTGCTTCATGTTAAGAGTCTCTCTAGAACATATTAAGTCTCCCCATGATTGTGAAAGAAAAAATGACCACTGTAAAGTTCTCTCTCTCTCCCCCTGCCCTCTTTTAAGCTTTAATTAGTGTTATGTCTTAATTTTGCTGTTTAGCTTCTATATAGTGTCTCACTGTCTCTTAATTCTTTTATCTTCTCCAGCACCTCAGTAAAACTCTAAACCCTTAGTTCATCATGAATTCAAGGTATGAAACAAAATAACTCAAGGAAAATAATTAGTTAGCTTTGAATACAATAATGATGAATAATAAATGGATAGCTAGAAAACTGGTCCATGAAGAGCCATTCATGAAAATCCCTAGTTTATGGGTCAATCTATAAGATTTTTTTTTAAATCACTACATTTAAATTGTATTCTTGAAAAGGGCTTTTTTTTTTTTTTTGGACTCCCATTCAAATTAGAGGACATTGAAAGCTCTCCAGCCCCTTACAGGCTTAAACAATCTGTAAGGATAATAGAATGATCCTACCAGAACAAACATCTCTTTTTTAATTCACTGAAAGCTGTTTTTTGGGGGGGGAGGGAGGGTTAGGAGAACCACAACTGTGGTTTGATGTGCACCATTTATTGGTACAAAACAAATTTTTAACACAGTGAACATAAGAATGGCCGTACTGGGTCAGACCAATGGTCCATCCAACCCAGTATCCTGTCTGCTGACAGTGGCCAATACTAGTTGCCCCAGAGGGAGGGAACACAAAAAGTAATCCTCACATGATCCCTCCCCTATCACCCACCTCCAGAGAAACAGAGGCTAGGGACACCATTCCTACCCATCCTGGCTAATATCTAGCTGTTTTTTCAACCCTGTTAAAGTCCTAGCCTTTACCACATCCTCTGGCAAGGAGTTCCACAAGTTGACTGTAATGTCTGAATACAGTAGTTTAAGAATCATGTTAAGTTTAAAAATTGTTCATACATATATCACAAAATGTACTATGCACTTTAAGCTTTTAAAAATAAAATGGTTATCATAAACATTACACTTACTTGTGACAAACCTCTCTCTCTGTCTCAGGTGGTGATGTGATTTTGAAGTTGAAGAGAATGAAAAAAAAAGAAGAGAATGAGTAACAGATATAACTATGTACACCTAATGCTCTGCTTATCTTTATGTCTTTTAATGGGGAAGAAAGATGTTCTGTTTAACTTAATAATTTCAGATCTTTCCTTTTTCAGAATTGCTGATGTGTTATTGTTCCTAATAAATATGCAGGGGACATAAAAAGATTTTCACCATTAACATTAAAGATTATGTTTTAGGACAGAAATATTAAAGGTAAATGCAGAACTGATCCACCACATGTCAGGTCTGAAATGAGCACAAGCACTAATATCAACTCTACAAATGCTAAAATAAATTCTCCCCTTTTCCTCTTTTGTCACTGTAAGAATTCTAAAATGTGATACTTGTATTGATCAGAAATATCACAGATAGGACCATCTTAGCAGATCATTTGTATTAGTGCTTCAACTTTGTCACCCCATAGGACCCTGCATAAAAGAGAGTCCTCATGGCAATCACTTTCCTCTTCAAACCTCCAACACCTGATTCTAAAAATGTTTATTTCTGTGGACTCAGAAAGGTCTACAGATACCAGCTTGTCCACAGAACACTATTTCAGAATCTTTAGTTTAAGCTATTGCACTGCTTGCTGTATATAAGATAAGTTCCTATAAACTATTCACTAATCATTTTCTAGTTTGGTACTTTACATCAATAGTTTGTAACCTGCTGGTCCAGCGGCAGCAGCAGGCAAGGAGGAAGCAATCGATCCCTGGGCTCGGGTCCCAGAACAAGGAGCAACTCACAGCTGATGCTTGTGAGGACTCTGGGGCCAGGCTCCAGGCCAGATCCCCAAGCCCCAGCGGTGGGGGGGGAGAAAGGGAGAGATGCTGCTGGGCCCCCAGAGCCTTGGCTACAGCCAGGAGGGGAATCTTCAATAGGGCCAGTTCCACTGCTCCCTAGAAGCCTCTCCTAGTGCAGCACCCTCAGCCTGACCAGCCCCTGTCCCGGGCAGCACTTGGGGAGCAGGTAAGAGAGACCCCGTCTCCACCTCCACCCCACCCAGCCCCGCGGGCTGCAGGGGGAAGGTTTTGCCCTAAGCTGCTCTCAGCGGAGCTGGCTGGGCCCAGGGAAGCTGCTGCCAACTCCCAGTGTGTGTGGGGAGGGGGTAGCCAGCCCTGGGGTAGGAGATTAGAAGGGGGGGGCCGAGGCAGATAATGGGGGTGTGTGAGGTGGGGGCAGAAGGGGAATGCAGGATGCGCTGAAGGGAGTTTGGAGAGATTCTGGGGAGACTTATGTTATGGGGTGGATGTAATAGGAGTGCAATGGAGGGAAACTCTGAGGTAGGGCCACAGAAGGAAAGGGGGGATGCGGAGAAGGGAGGGTGGGGGAGACTGTGGGAACAAGAGCTACCTGGCTGGGGAAGGAAGACACATAGGGCAAGGGTTGTACAGAAGGAGACAGAGGAGATACAATGGCAGCTTTCCCACCCCACAGGGCAGGAGGTGGAGAGGGCAGAGGTGACTAGTGGTACCATTTGGGGACACCAGCGCCTATGCCCCTGACAAAATTTCAGTTGCTAAGTAAGATGCTCTACATGCTCCCTGTCCCTGTGGGTGCCCCTCCCTGCACCCCTTCCTCTGCAGGCACCAGTCGCCTCTTAGGATGTGGCTACCCCACCCAGCCTCCAGAGGTGAATTCTTTCCGTGATTTTTTTTATTTTTAGTGTTGTAGATATCTGCAAACTCTGATCCATTATGGACTGGTAACATTTTAATTGCATATTTGCATATTAATTATGTGCATAATGAATATACAAATATGCAAATAAAATGTTCCACCAGAAGTTTGTGAATGTGTTTGCCAGTTCACAGTATTAAAAAGATTGGGAACCACTGCTTTACACCAGCATGAACCCTTGTATTTCAGATGTTACTACACCCGAATTATATAATGAAAGAACTGAAAATTCAGAATTTCTTTCTCTCTCAGGAGAGACTTTGAAAAATACAGGAAGTACAGCAGGAAGTTCAGCATACAAGACAATTTCAAACCACAAAGCTTATGATGAATTCAGTAAAAGCTTTGTATCATTTGTGGTTTTCCAAATTTATAAACTATTTGTACATGTTTTTCAGGACAGCTATTTTTTTTAATTCAAAAAAAGAAAGAAAACCTTCTTGCCCCCAACTGAGTCTCCTGCTTCTCACGTCCCCGTTTGCATGGTGTAATCTTTTTCAATTTGTGTGATATTTAGAAGTCCCTAAATTACTCTCCTTTTAAACTTCTGTGAAAAAAGAAGGCACAGAGAGGAAACCCATTAAGAAAGAGAGGCTTTATCAAAGAATCACATCAATGGCTTCATGTTAATACTCAATGCTCCTGTTCTCCCCTCTAAGATGTATCAGTGTTAATGGATGAGTGTTTCTGACTCTGCAGATTTATTGTACTATGGTGTTAAGTACAACTTCATAATAAAGATACCTGTGCAGTGACAGCCGGATTATGCAGTATTTTAATTCACAGATCAGAACATGAAGGGGTATATAAACAACCCATGTTCCTCTAAAACAAGAAGTGCTTTTGTTATCTCTCCTATTAACTTGATTATGCTCTGTTGGAGTCAGAAAACAATAACAGAAAACAATTGAAATACTGTGCACAAATATTTACATTTCCCCATTTTCTGAATAGCTCTTGTATTTCTCTCTCTATATAAAAAGGTTTGTCCTGCCATGTGACAGAATGATTTCATCAGGCTCTCTGGCCTCAAAAGTGGCCAGAGAGAGGGGGATTTGGCGAGCGTGGCAAGCAGTGGATGCAGCCCCCTAGTTTATGTTAAGCTGGCTCCCCTCCCAGGCTGGCTCTCATGGAGCCACCAGCCCTCCACCCCTGATAGAGAGGCAGCAGCATGGATGGTGGGAGGAGGCAGGCGGTACATGCAGGAAACCAGCTCCCTGTGCATACTGGCTCCACAGAGCCACCTGCCCTGCTGCCCTTCTATCAGAAAAATTCAGCAGTTACAAATTTACAAAAATAAACATTTGCTAACATTCCTAATAATTAGTAAACCCATAAGCATCACCCTTATTGGGTGATGCTTACTGGTAACCAGTTAACCAGCATCCAGGATGGCCTGCAAAAGCCCTTCCCCACCCAACATGGGTGGGGGAACTCTCTAGCCCAGCTGTGCCCACCACTCCACACCATAGTTTGGGGACTCTCCAACCCAGCCAGGCCCATTTTGCCACAGGTGTAGGGGGAGGAGGTTAACTGGTTAAACATAACATTTAACCAATTAACTGGTTATACAGGATTTTACAACTCTAATACAAATGAGACATTCCATGTAATAAAGAACATACAAACCGAATGTAAAGTCAATTCAAAGCCTCACCTCTGGCAACCATATCAAAAGTGTTTACAGAGAAAAAGAACTAAATTATAAACAGCAGATTAACCTTTTAGCCTGAAAGAGATCAAAGTGCTTTACAAATTGTATTAATTAATGTTTGAAAGGTGCTCTGAATTATTGTTTTGGAGAAGCAGTCAACTCGTGCTATATTTTAGCACAAGATTTAAAAGAACTCACAAAACTAACTCACGATCCTGAAGAAGAGGGTACTTTCCTGTTGAATTCTTAGCTGTTGACTATACCTATACAGCTTTCAGACAGTGTGATGTTCAATCACTATGACAGCTCCATAGGCAGTGGCAAGAAATGCATTTCCTTTGACACTTTCATCAGACATATGTTTATATCTATATAGCATCTTCATGAAATTCCACTATATAGATGTTTGATACAAAATTCAGATAACTTAGACACAAGTGATAGCACTTTCAAATGGCATAAGACAAACAAGCCTGGGCAGTACCTGTCAGGATCTCACCATCTAGTGAAATCTAGAAACTAATGACAGCTAGTGCATAGTCTCCTTTAACTAAGTTGGTTGAGATACTGCTTTTGGATTTTCAGATCTTGGAGTACAAAACCAAACAAACAGTGATGGTATATAATTTGTGGCTCTTCTTAAGATAATACAGTTGTATGAGTGGGCAGAATTAGCATTTGCTTTTGAAATTTTCAAACAATAATAGGGGCAAATTTAACAGTTATCCAATGGGTTAAAATAAGCAGAAACATAATACAGTTAACTTTCAAAAAGCAAAATATTTATTTTAATACCAAAAGGCTGGCCTCTTCTCAGACACTGAAAAATGCTGGCAGCTTGATGCCAGTTTAAATCACTGACTGACATACCATGTGGCATACCTACCCACACATCACAAATCTAGCTAGCTAAGAAAATCTCAGACCCACATTCCACTACCACCCTTCATCACAGATTATTTCCAGCAATGAAACTACACAGAAAAAAATCAGTGACAAATTTTGATAGCCTCCTTTGTGCAACTCAGCCTGCATAACAAGACTGACACCTTGTGGTCCCTTTGAATATCTGAGGAACAGTTTTCCACCCCAGACCACAATTCTCCTTCAATTCACTCCCTTCTATTTAAAACTATTAGATAAAGCAAGGATTTTTACAATATAAAGGTAAAATTCCTGTGCATTCTACTTTCTATTAAATATTGTCTAGGACAGAATGAGACATTTATTGGTTCTTATTGATGATCTTTTACTTTGGACACTACCCATGAAACATATATAGTCTATTTAAAATCCATCCTAAAAATTAAGTAACATACCTATTTATATATCTTATAGTGTACTTGTATTTCTAAAGTTCCTATCACCATGCTATTTAGGTTTCTGAGTGCAATAAGAGGAAGTTACTCACCTTAGTGCAGTAATGATGGTTCTTCAAGATGTGTGTCTCCATGGGTACTCCACTGTAGGTGTCAGGCTTGTCCCGGTGCTGCAGATCAGAGATTTGTCAGCAGTGGTCTGCTGGACCGTTCGTGCACATCAAGCGCCTCGTTTTGTTCACACCATTTCTTAGAGCACTCAGTCTGGCTCCTGCCAGTTCCTCGTAATCGCCGAGTATCTGAAAAACAAAGGAGAAACTCAGAAGCGGGGAGGAGAGTGAGTAGTGGAGCACCATGGGGACTGTAGCGGGTGGCTCTCGTCGCCACGTCGCCTGTTAGGTCACTGCCCTCCGGCAGTGACAACCGTAGCCTCTAACCTTTCCCCTTCCGGGGGATTGACGGGTTTGTGATAGGCCGGTAGGCCCTCAGGGGCGGCTCCTCAGCCCCCAGCGCAGCAGGAGACGCGCCTGCCTCCCTGCATCACTGCGCCTTAGTTTAATAAGCGAGTCTCTCCCGGCCTTCCTTCAGGTCCGGGCCATAGTCAGTCGATTACTGCACAGGTCAGGGCCTGGCACCCAGTCTAGTTCGGCCCCTTTAAGGGGTCCCGCCTGACATACGGTCGGTCTCAGACGTACTGTAGGTAAACCCGCGCCCTCAAGCAGGGCGGGCCCAAACACAGTCCATTAGGCCAGGCCCTCCAGCCGGGCGGCCCAACCAACCCTACATTCGTAGGAGCTCCTCATTCAGGAGCGGGCCCAGTAGGGCATCGGCAGCCGCGGTGGGGAGGAGGTAGGGGGGCGCAGGCCCACCCACCTCACTGCGCCCCGGCCCAGGGGCCCTGAATGCAGCCGGGCAGCTGCGACTGGCTCAGCAGGGCTCCGGCCTGTAACTTGCTGGCCGCGGGCGGCTCCCCGCCCGGCTACCCCCTGGGCCACTTCTCGCCCCCTCCTCTTCCCCGGTACCTGTAGTTCCGGCAGGTCCGTCGTGGAGTCGAGGTCGGTGTTGTCCCGTCAGGGTCCGGGCGGCCCAATCCAGGGGTCGAGGGGTCGGAGCTCTGTAGCGTCCCGCGGGCTCGTCCGGCCCCGGCGTTCCAGTACCCAGCGGGGGTCCAGCTGGTCTAGTGGTTCGGGCCAGTCCTCTGGGTCCTCGGGTTGTTCTACTGGCTGGCGGGGCAAGGCCTCAGTAATCCCGGCAGGGAAGCCTTGGCGGGCCTCCAGGGAGGAGGCTGAGAACGGCCTAGCCCAGGTCTTAGCCTCCCGGGGCAGGAGCTCTGGACAGGCCTCCAGCTCCCTCGGAGGCTGGGCCCTGACTGAGCTCCCCGGCAGCCTTCTTATAGTCCTAGGCTCACCCTTTGACTTCCAGTCAGGTGAGGGGGCGGGGCTAGGCTGGGGCC